TAAAAACTTATTGTTGTTTCAAGGTTTATAGAATAAGATTAAACATTTAATTCAAAAGTTTTCAAAATGATTTTGATTCATTATTATTTCTCAATTCTTAGAAAATATTTATTCTTTTCTCTTATCAACATAATCTTTGCATATATCTTCGTTTCCAACTAATGGTACAAATGTGAATTTAGCTCTGATGTAGTCTTAGATTACGAATTGACATCGTTGAATTATAGATTTATTCAAGAGTTTTATCCATGAAAAAGAACAAAGATATAGTTGACTCTATGCAACAAGATAAGCTCACTGATGTCTTGAAATAGTCATAGATGAGCGATCTTGATGCTTGTTGTTATATAATTAATCATACAAATTTGTTAATTCGAATGATATGTAATCTTAACAATACAAACCTTTTAGACGCTGAGATTTGATGAGACGATTGTTTGACTTTGTCTGTTCTTATTTTCTTACTTTCTAATTATGAAAATTTTTGTCTCAATTTTAATACTATTAAGAAGTAACAATGAATCTTACACTCCTATCAGTAGTAGTCAGATTGTTTTATTTATATCATGTAATACGTTTACATTACTGATCATTGATATACATGAAAAAAATTACTAAATAATAATACAAAATAAAAAAAACTAATTATTCTTTTTTTTTTCATCGAGTACAAAGTCTTCACTAAACAAATGATAATGATTTTTTGTACTATTATCTGTTTTTGAGCGTATTTCGTTGTATTAGCATCTACATAAACGATAAAGAGATAAAATGTCTACTACTAACAATCATCTATTAGTCCCGTAGAGTGTCCTGTACGGATGCGATTTTTCACAATCGAATTCGAACCGGAGTTAATAAACGTTTAGCAGATACTTTTACAGTCATAATATGGTTTTCAAATTTTTGTTTTCATATGAAAAAATATACTATTTAGTTTCTTCCATAAATAACAACACAAAAAGCAAGTGAATCGAGTGATACAGGATTCATTTGGTGTCTTTTTGCTTGTAAAGCCTGATTTCATTAACAACGAATTCTTTTAGTAAAATAATATTGATGTCCATTTGTGTGACCTGTTCTCAAGTATAGTAAATTATTCAATCATAATTACCGAGTCGGATCCGACTGCGAAATCTTACCCGAGAGTCGATTCGGTTGCAAGACATTAGTCTCATTCATAATTACTTGAATTGTTTATGCACTAACTTAATTTTTGAGGAAACCATTAGGACTGCTAAAACATATAAGACATATCTTATTTTTTTTCTTATTTATTTAATTATTTAGATCAAGTTAGATATTGAACATGATTAGACTTTTTTAAATTTTCAATTAGATCTTTTTAATATGGTACTGTTATTATCATGTAAAAAAGATGATTATACTACAGATGTTCTTTGTTTTATTCATCGATAAATACGATACTCGATAAACATTTAGCTGAAAATATCAATGGTAAATCTACAGATTCAAATCAATTATTTATTTATTTGTTTTTCTTTAGATTACTTTTGGATCATGAAGTGATTATAGAATTTTTCTTCTTATATTTTTCCTCAATAGTACATTTCAATTCAGAAAAGAATTCATAAAAAAGGATTCCATGTAAGTTTTTTTAAGTCTTTATTTTGTACAGTAGAAAATAAAGATTTATGTCCTTGAGTAACTGATTTTCAACGTAATTTTATCTTTGATCATTTTGGTGCATGTCTATTTGTGGGCCGTATTCTTCGTGTAGCACTTTCTGTAAGACGTACTTTTTCTATTATCTTGTTCGATTTATGTTTGTTTTTTCACTTTTAGATTCAAAACAGAAAGGTTAAGTATCTGGCTGATTGCCTATCATTGATTAATGATTTTCATGAATTTTTATTTTTGTCTTATGTAGAAATTTTTTTGTTTAGGTTGTGTTTTGTTTTACAATTCTGATACTTTTTTTTTTTCGAGAACAACCAAAATTGAAAATGAATGTTTCTTATTTCTTAAAGATAATTAAGAAATTCGAATAGAATCACTGCCTATATAAGTATGACAATTATGAAAGCAAGTAAAATGTTATTTCAAATAAGTACTCTGCTTTTTCTTTCGGCATTTACACAATTTAATCTACGAATAAATTAGTTTTTTTTATCATTATTACTAGAACACCTTATTGTGGGACTGATGTTATTCTTTGTTAATAATTTGAGTTGTTATAGTGTTACTGTGCTTGACCTTTATGGGTGATTGGGCATATGAATAAAATATTTTGTTAACAGATCACCTTTCATTGTTTTAAACGAAAAACGAAATGTCAAATATTGATATAATCGACTGATTTAATTATCGAATAAGTTATGTGATCCAATAGAGGAAAGTATGACTCTAATAATTAAGATAGTATCTGACGGATCATTATTTTAATTTTATTGTATAGATCGTTTAAAAATAGACTAAAAACTCTTGTCAACTTTCATAAATTGACTATAGATATTTTGATATAGAATTTATTATAGTTTGTTTAACTTAACCATTAAAAAAAAATGACACCATCAGATAACAAAATTTTATAATCAGATTAGTTCAATCTTTGTTCTGTTGTTTTTTCGCCATAATAGATATAAAATTAGACTAGACAACAAAAATAAACTAAACATCATACTTTATAGGACATCTAACGCACTATTAACATTAACTAATGAAGACTTTCGAAGTTAAAAGATGCATAAAATATTTCTGATTTTTAAAAATTAATTAGTTATACATGAATCATTTTAAAATAGTCAATGCTCTTTTCATGATATAACTTTTTGCATTTTATACATTCCTTACAGTTCAATATCATACATTTTACAGTGATATATTCTATTCACTCAAAATAATCGATAAAAGTATTTTATTAAAAAAAAATGCAAATCATTTCATATACTCGTCTTTATTTAGATGGTAATATCCACTCGAAGTATCGTATCAAAAAAAGTTTTTAAATCGACAATACCAATTTGAATAACGAATCTAAATAAAGTATGAAGCTACTTAAAACATATGAAAAGTAGTAATGGAGATATTGTAATTCTTTACCAAAAAAGAACTTAAAGAAACTTTCTCTTTATATGATGTGATAGTAAAAACAATGTTCTATATTTCGGTGATATTTGATCGTACTTCAATTAATATCATAATAGTAATGAAATTTCGATAAGAACTATTTGTTATGATATGTAATGGTAATATTAGATCATATTTTGTTTTTGATGTGTATCCTCTTTATTTTTCTTCTCTAATGCCTAGCCGTCTATGCAGATTAGGATAATCAAAAAGTGATGTTGATAGAACAAAAAAGAAATACAGAAATAAGTTCATCAAGTCTTTATTCCATTAAATATTTGAACTAATCGTCCTAGTTATTTATACTCAATTCCACTCCTTGAATCCATTTATCGAACATTTTTTTAATACTTTTCTTTATTTAAAGAATTCATGAACTTGTTGACAGCATGATACAACTATTTGGTATCGTTGTGATTGTTTAGGTTTTGTTTGATTAAATCAAATAATCAAAAAGTCACCATGATATCAGATCAGAAGAATTACTTAAGTAAAAACTTGATGAACTTGTTTCTGTATTTCTTTTTTGTTCTACCGATACCATTTTTTTTTGTATAACCTAATACGTATAGACAGTGAGAGATTAGAAAGAGACAAGAGAAAAAAGAGAGAATAAGAATAAAAAAGATACACATCGAAGACAAAATGTGATCTAATATTACCGTTACATATTATAACACACAACTCTTATCGAAATTTCATTAATATTATGATATTAATTGAAGATTGATCAAATATCACTGAAATATAGAACATTGTTTTTACTATCAGATCATACAGAGAGAAAGGTTTTTTAAACTTGTTTGTAAAGAACTAAAATATCTCCACCACTAGTTTTCGTATGCTCTAAGTATTATTTTTGACTTCTCAAGGAAATAAATAGCTTTAAACAGGGTATCCCCTTCTAGATATTAAAATTAAATTTTTTTCGATTTTTGTTTTTGTCATCATTAATATAGCCTCGAAGTGTTCTCTTTCAAATGCCATATAAATGAGGACTCTTCGTTGCTGGTTAGCACTTTTATTAAACTCAACTCTCGAAATTCCTAGCAGAAAAACTCCTAATACAATTATTCTTTGCATGTAAAATTCTCCTAACGATAATTTCTAAAGGTATTGAGAGCATGGGTCGTGGATTTCTAACACCGCTGAAGATGGTTAATTTTCTACCAGTTTCGTTGAAGAAAAAAAGTCCTGATACATATAGAAAAGTTTGTTTTACATTTTTGTCAAAATCAATTTTTAAACAAAACAAAACAAAATTTGTCTCCCTTTTCTCTCATACAGTACGTTAGATTGAGTTCAAGGTACTTTCGTGTTATCCAGACCACCTCAGGGTGAAGATGAGGGTGGTCGGGATAACAGGAAAGTACCCTTGAAAACATACTATATAAAGTTTTGCAGAGAGATTTTTGGCTTTTGCGATTTTCATATTTCTTCAAAGGAAGCGTGTAGAAATTTTGAGTCTATGACAACTTTTACTCTATTTATCAAGATCTATCTGTCTTCAGAGTTTCATCATTTTTTGTCGAACCGTTCTCGAGAAGCTCCAGAAAGGAGAAGGGAAAGAATCCCCTTAATATGTTTTTGTCTTTTCTCGGTAGTTCAATACAAATTGACAATATCGACATGAACAGTCATAATACTGATAATGCTTATTAATAATTTTTGCAGCGATATATATATATATTATTAAGTTTCATTCATCATTTCTGGTACATATTTCTTCTGAAAAAAAAACAAATTATAAACATCCATAGACACATACACAAAAAAAAAGAAACGACTGGAATGACACAACAAAGAGAAAAGTGTATAGGAACGACTAGAAGAATATTTCTACATGTATAATCATTTCACTTAAGAATAATTGACTTTATGGAATAAAACTCGATAAAATTTTCTCTTTTTTATGCTGTATTTTCTAGCATAAGTAATGTAAGTAAAACAGGTAAAATATGTTCATAATGTTCAATAGGTGTACCTTGTAATTTAATATATGAATTTCTACTTAAATATTCATATAAAGTAAGAAATTCAACAAGACCAAGTGTTTCTTCAAGATATTTTCTTAAAAGATTTATTTTTGATTGTCGTGATGATTTTAAATGTGCTGCTGCATATAATGCATGAAATGTATCATTTGATGTTAATTTACGTTTATTACTTATTGATATTGATATTGGTGAAGGTAGATCATCATGATGATTTTCTGATTGTGGTTGAAGTGGAAGTATTGTATCAATTGGTTTAATTATAACTGTTGATGTTGATGATGATGATGTTGATAAAATTTGTTCTCGTTTAAATTTTTTTGTATGATTTGATGATAAATCAAGTAATTCAGAATTTATTGATGGCATAAGTAAACCTTTTATTTTACCTTTTCTTAAACTCATACAAGAAAATTTTCCATTAATACCAGCTTTTTGCATAGCTTGTTGTATTAATAAATCTAATCTATGACGTCCAGCACGTATTGTTTTATACCAAACACGTTGATCGGTTGATGTACGTGGTACAAGATAATATGGTGCATCTGCATTTGAACATTGTGTTGGTCGATGATAAGTGAAAAGACGTAAACTAGCAACAGGACATTGATTTGGTTGTAATGGATTAGCATATGCACGTAAATTAGTTGTTGAACGTTTATATTCAACATATTCATTTGATGTTGTTGAATCAATTTTAATTTGTAAATCACCCCATAATAATGAACGATTTATTGTTGATTCATTACCACGTTGATCAAAATATTTTGAATTATTTATTAATAATTCAAGTAATAAACCATCAGGTGTTTCACGTGTTATAATATTCATTTGACGAAGTAATAATTCATGTTCAGATGTAAATGCTTCAACTTTTGAATTACTTATATTTTTTATTGGTTTAGCCCATGTATCACGTTTTTCTTGTATAACTTCACGACATGGAGCAAATACAGGAGATTCAAGTATATTATATGAATATTTACGAGATTTTAAATAACGTTCAATTGATAACATAAAACTTCTTAATGTATCAGGTTCATATTCAGTATTATCAGCTTTACGAACATTACCAAAATAATGTTTTAAATATGTACATAATTGTTCAGGTTTTAATTCATCAATAGAACATTTTTCATTAAATGTATCTTCTAAATACAATGCAAAACGTCGTACTTCATGTTTTGTTTTACGTATTGTATTATATGAATTTGTTCCTGAACAAATTAAAAAACGATTTGAATCCATACGTTGATTTGCTAAACGTGATAAACGTGCAGCAATAGCAGCTGATGATATAGGTTTTGTTGTTGATGATCGT